GAATGAATTCATTCTGACGGGCATCACTGATCGCGCTGAGCTGCTGGCCCCATTATTTGGGCTGTTTCTCATCATCTACATAATCTCAGTAGCTGGCAACTTGGGCATTATAATCCTCACCAAGGTGGACTCCAGGCTGCAAACCCCCATGTACTTTTTTCTCAGACACCTGGCTCTTACTGATCTTGGTTATTCAACAACTGTGGGTCCCAAATTGTTAGTAAATTTTGTCTCAGATCGGAACACAATCTCCTATTATTTTTGTGCCACACAGCTAGCTTTCTTTCTTGTCTTCATTGTTAGTGAACTTTTTATACTGTCCGCGATGTCCTATGATCGATATGTGGCCATCTGTAACCCTCTCCTCTACACAATTGTTATGTCACAAAGGGTATGTCGACTGTTGGTGGCAATTCCTTATCTCTACTGTACATTTGTGTCTCTTCTAGTCACCATCAAGATTTTCACCTTACCCTTCTGTGGCTATAATGTCATCAGGCATTTCTACTGTGACAGTATCCCCTTGTTATCTTTGCTTTGCTCAAATACACAAGAAATTGAATTGATAATTCTGATATTAGCAGCTTTTGATTTAATTTCATCTCTTCTGGTAGTTCTTGTGTCTTACCTGCTCATCCTCATAACTGTTCTCAGGATGAACTCTACTGAGGGCAGGCGCAAAGCTTTCTCCACCTGTGCATCCCACCTGACAGTGGTCATAGTGTTCTATGGGACATTGATATTTATGTATGTGCAGCCCAAATCCAGTCATTCCTCCTACACTGATAAAGTGACTTCCATATTTTACACCCTGGTTATACCCATGTTGAATCCCTTGATCTACAGCTTGAGGAACAAAGATGTAAAATATGCCTTACAAAGAACATTGAATAACTTATGCAGTATTTTTCATTATGTGTGATTTTTAAAAGGAACGTTATGGGTGTCAATCTTTGCTCTGTATGTCTTTAGAAGGAATAGCAAGCACAAATTTATTCAACATGTATTTATATATAGTCTTGTATATACCAGGGTCTCCTAATTGTTGTATATTGATTAACAAACATAACAGTGAAAATCTTTGCCTTCCTTGAGAGGAGCAGAGGAAGTGTATGCATAGTAAGTCAATTTTATAGAACAGCAAAGTGTGTTCCATATATGCAGACTAAAAAAAAAAAAAAGGCAAGTGAATATGCTGAGTGGGAGTAGGACACAGTGGTAACTACATATGGGAGTGGCAAGGGTTCTTGTTTTTTTAACATCTATTGTAATAAAATTTACAGTGATTGTGTGTATGTTTCTGCTTGTGTGTGTGTGTTCATGGGTTTGTGTGTACATGAGCTCTCTCTTTATGTTTTAACCTTCACACTTTTGCTGGCATATTTTGGAGTTGTGCTCAGTACTGGTTGCTTACATAATATGTAATAATCTGAAGTCTTATGAATGTGCTCAAGTCATAACTATTCCAAACAATGTGATCCCATTTTTTCTCCTCACAAAGACTTTATTTCCATATATGAATATTCTTTCTTTGTAACTTAATAACCCATAGATTCTGATTGGCTCCTGATTTTGTCTCAATAAGCTCATTTTGTTGATACTAGTGGGTATATCAGTTAAGGTAAGAATTTTGAAGCTATTAATAGACACTGTTAGGTTTGTACATTTCCCCCAGTTGTTCTCACTTAATAACTGCCGGTTTGCTTTCATAGATTATTTTCTTGTTTACTAAAAAAGCAATTACCATGTTTATAACTTGTGTGATAGCTGTTTTCATATGTTTGTGTGTAACTATTCTATGATGAATTGGTTTTGTTGCCTGTTTTTCACTGGACTAATTTTTCTCAAGTTTGAAGATGCACTATGATTTTGAAGATGTGCTGTGTTTTGTCTTTCATTGTTTGACTGCATCAATTTAATGTTCTACTTGTGAGAAGCAAATGAAAATATTCACATGGATTGCACTATACTGGATTTTTCTTTTGACCTTTGTAGATGTCCCTTGGACATAGTTGCTACTTGTAACTCCACATATTTTCCCATGTAATTTTGATAACTTTTATTCTCTTTTAATAAACCTAATATTTTATGTAAGCTATCAGAGTCTGGAAAATTTCCTTAGTTTAACATCACAAAATAAAATATCATGACTGGCCAATGAAACTTGAATAAATTAATTTCATTGGAATAAAATTAAAAGTGAATTGTCATGTGAGGACAGACATTACCAAATTGCTGATGTAGTAAATTAAATCTTTAAGATGGTCCTAGGAACAAACAGGTAATAATATGTCACAATTACTGAGGACTATATGAAAGGCATTCTTCATGTCTCATTTAACTGAGTCATCACAACAACTCTGTGGGGTAGTTCCTACTAAAAGTTATATTTTTCAGATATTTAACATAGGGACTTAGAGAAGGTAAATAAATTGTTAGACTACACCAAGGTATTAGGTATTAGAACCAGGTTTCAAAATCAGGTGATCCTGCTCCAGAATTCATGCTCTGAGCAACTGCCCTATATTATCTCAATGTTATTTTTGTGCTTCGCTGATGTCACCCTGAGATGGCAGAGAGTAGAACCTCACTTGATCCTGTTTCAGATTAGGAGAGGAGAAAAGACAGAGGGTTTAGTTATAAGATACATAAGTTCTGGGGAATCTAGTGTACAACATGGAGACCGTAGTTTATAATACTGCGTTGTTTATTTTAAATTTGATGATAGAGAAATTTCAAGTGTTTTTACCACATTCACACACACACACACACACACACACACACACACACACACACTCTCTCTCTCTCTCTCTCACACACACACACACACACACACACAACAGGTACCTATGGGTGGTGGCACATGTATTAGTGTATTTGACTGTGGTAATTGGTGCACAATGTACACATATATACAATGAACACATTGTTCACCATGAAAATATACAACTTTTATTTATCAATTAAATATTTTCAAATATAATAAAATCGGTGAATACCTAGAACCATGTCAAATATAGAAAATGAATTCAATCATGTACAAATTCAGAGGGTGACCATTCCCTAAAAATTAAAGGCAATTTTGTAAAAAGAGTAAATGATAGGTTGTAAAGTTGGATTAAATGGACTCCTAATATTCTTAACATTCAAATGACTCTATCACATTTAAAACTTAAATTTTCTATTTAACCTACTGAATATGAGGAGATTCAGATAAAGAGTAAAAACATTTTTACAAAATAACTTTAACTAGGGGTGATATTGCCCTACTAGGGGTGACAGAACAGATATCAATGTTCCATCGTAGCAACTGGGAGCCGACTGTATGACACTGCCTTTCATTCTTCCAGCAAATTGCACCAAGTCTGGACCACAGAAGGGGTCTTGATAAATGAAATGTCTCATACACAATTCCCTAGGGAATTTTTGCAGTTCCTCGACAGTAGATCACCAAGGGGGCACTCCCAGGATCCTCCCTTCACCAGGCCATGTGGCACAGCAGCCTGCCTTGATCCAAGTCAACAGGGAGGCGTTTTTGTTATATTGCCCTGCTCTGTGGGAGTGAGGGATGGTTGGTGACCAATGCCATTTTTGCCAGCTCATCCCTTAACAATATTATACATTGGCCCTGGTATCTCAAAAGTGGAACAGCCACCGAGGAATGCTTTCTCTCCCTTTCTGCCAAAACTTAGTAGTCAGTTCTACCAGCTCTGCTGAAGTGTAAGGGCTGGCACTTGTCTGCATGCATTTTAGCAGAGGAGGTAAATCTTGGATGTTCTGCCCTTCTGGTTGCTCTTGCCTAGTCTTAAGCTTTTTGTATTATTACTGGTCTAGCCTGAAGATTTCCTGCTTCAACATCGATTACCTCTACTTGGAAATTCTCATATTTCTCATCCAAGATATCGGTCTCAGGAGTGGGTTCCCATTTTCTAGGATTCCACTCTGGGTTTGAAATTACAGCATGGATCTTGGCCTGCAGCAGCTACTTTCCATTTATTTTTGCAAAACAGCACACCAAATCATGAAGGTGGTCCATGACTCAGTCCAACTGACACACTATCATATCCTTGCTATCAGCCTGAGTTAAAAGAGTCTCTCTTTCTAATTATAATTCTTCCTTTAACTTTTGTCCTTGATTTCATGAGTCATTTTCCTTTTCAGTCACTAGCCTGAGCCAGCAGAGGAAAGGCCATGGCCTTGTATTCTTTTTTCCTTGGCATACCTCTTTCCTCAACTTCCTTCAGTACCTCTAGCAGCCCTGCCTCCATTTGCAGTGTGTCCCTGTAATCAGCGGTAGTCCCCAGCTATTTTTCTTTTTTTTTTTTTTTTTTTTTTTTA